TGTATTGGAACTTTCAGAATGGATATAAATGCTCTGGAAAACGTACAAAGGAGGAAGACAAAGATGATCCCATGTATCAGAAATCTTCCCTATGAGGACAGACTGAGGGCCCTGAATCTGCACTCTCTAGAAAGACGTAGAATTAGGGGGGATATGATCGAGGTGTATAAATGGAAAACAGGAATAAATAAAGGGGATGTAAATAGCGTGCTGAAAATTTCCAGCCAAGACAGGACTCGCAGCAATGGTTTCAAGTTGGAAAAATTCAGATTCAGGAAGGATATAGGGAAACACTGGTTTGGTAATAGAGTTGTGGATGAGTGGAACAAACTCCCGAGTACAGTTATTCAGGCTAAAACGTTGTGTAATTTTAAAAATAGGTTAGATAAATACATGAGTGGGTGTGGGTGGGTGTGAGTTGGACCTGACTTGCTTGTGCTGCTGGGTCTGGTGCAGTGCTCCATCCTTGAGTGGAGGTAACCAGACTGGGTGGGTCATTGGGCTAATCCGAGGTGGGGGGGGGACATGGACCTGCTCCCCATGGGTCAGTAGGCCTGCTGCAGTGTTCCTTCTTTCTTATGTTCTTATGTTCTTATTTAATCTCTTTATTAATGAATTTTTTCAAAAAATTTCTAAAAAATAAAAAAAAATGAGAAGTGAAACGCCCACCTAATGGAAGACATTTAACCAATTTCCGAAATACAATATCTCAAAATTTTAAATATAATTCATATATATATATATATATTTTATATATATATATATATATATATATATATATATATATATTTAAAATTTCTTATTCAGTATGAAATTATACAAAAAGGAAATATTAAGAATTTGGTGTCAGTTTGACAGAAGAAATTTATCGGTAATTCCTCAAGTTGTTCAAGATTATATTTATCTTCACTTTCTGACTCTGGAGAATCTATGTCACTTTCAGAATTATGTTCAGCATCAGTGACATCATAGTTATAGCAGCAGTGACATCATAGTTATAGCAGCAGTGACATCATAGTTATAGCAGCAGTGACATCATAGTTACAGCAGCAGTGACATCATAGTTATAGCAGCAGTGACATCATATTTATAGCAGCAGTGACATCATATTTATAGCAGCAGTGACATCATAGTTATAGCAGCAGTGACATCATATTTATAGCAGCAGTGACATCATATTTATAGCAGCAGTGACATCATAGTTATAGCAGCAGTGACATCATAGTTATAGCATCAGTGACATCATAGTTATAGCAGCAGTGACATCATATTTATAGCAGCAGTGACATCATATTTATAGCAGCAGTGACATCATAGTTATAGCAGCAGTGACATCATAGTTACAGCATCAGTGACATCATAGTTATAGCATCAGTGACATCATAGTTATAGCAGCAGTGACATCATATTTATAGCAGCAGTGACATCATAGTTATAGCAGCAGTGACATCATAGTTATAGCAGCAGTAACATCATAGTTATAGCAGCAGTGACATCATAGTTATAGCAGCAGTGACAGCATAGTTATAGCAGCAGTGACAGCATAGTTATAGCATCAGTGACAGCATAGTTATAGCAGCAGTGACAGCATAGTTATAGCAGCAGTGACATCATAGTTATAGTAGCAGTGACATCATAGTTATAGCAGCAGTGACATCATAGTTATAGCAGCAGTGACATCATAGTTACAGCATCAGTGACATCATAGTTATAGCAGCAGTGACATCATAGTTATAGCAGCAGTGACATCATAGTTATAGCAGCAGTGACATCATAGTTATAGCAGCAGTGACATCATAGTTATAGCATCAGTGACATCATAGTTACAGCATCAGTAACATCATAGTTACAACATCAGTGACATCATAGTTATAGCAGCAGTGACATCATAGTTATAGCAGCAGTGACATCATAGTTACAGCAGCAGTAACATCATAGTTATAGCAGCAGTGACATCATAGTTATAGCAGCAGTGACATCATAGTTATAGCAGCGTGACAGCATAGTTTCAGCAGCGTGACATATGTTATAGCAGCATGGCATAGTTACAGCATCGTGACATATAGTTTGAGCAGTGACATAAGTTACGCTCAGTGACGCATAGTTATAGCAGCAGTAACTATAGTTAAGCATCGTGACAGCTAATTATAGCAGCGTGACGCATGTTTAGCAGCAGTGACGCTGTTATAGCAGCAGTGGACAGTAGTTATAGCAGCAGTGACAGCAAGTTACGCATCAGTGACAGCATAGTTTTAGCAGCGTGAAAATAATTTCAGATAGTGACATCATAATTACAGATAGGAATCATAATTACGCACGTGACATCTATTACGTCAGTGACATCATAATTTTGATCATTTAATATAGTTAAGACATTGACATCATAGTTACAGCATATTGACATCATGTTAAAGCATCATTGCTCATAAATTTCAGCTCATTTACATTAATTAAGATCTTTACATCATAATTCGCATCATGACATCATAGTTACGCATCAGTGAATATGTTACGCATTGTCTTGCTGTGGCTCTTGATCCCTAAATAGTCAAAGACTCGAAAAGACAATGAAAACAATTTTACCATTACAAAATAAAAATTGTGTTGCTTAGTGTAAGTTTGTTTATTATCAATATAAAATAAGATTTTCTTCGGATTTTTAACCTCGGAGGGTTAGCCACCCAGGGTAACCCTGACTGTCTTATTTCCATTGTGGTCCTCAATCTTGTCCCCCAGGATGCGACCCACACCAGTCGACTAACACCCAGGTACCTACTTGCTGCTAGGTGAACAGGACAATAGGTGTAAGGAAATGCGTTGAAATGTTTCCACCCGCCGGGAATCGAACCCGGGCCCTCCGCGTGTGAAGCCAGAGCTTTAGCCACCAGGCCACCGGTCCTGTTGAGAAATCAAGTCGATTAAATTTGTTTCAAAATGAATGGAAAGGAGACTTAGTCAGATGAATTAGTATATTCATATTAAACAAGGGATAAGAAAGGCTAAACAAGACTAAGAAACTGAAGTTGATAAGAGAATAAAAATTATACCGAAAAGAACCCAAATCATACCACGGGTGGAGTTAGAACCCGCGATCAGAGAGTCACAAAACTCCAGACCGCGGGTTCTAACCCCACCTGTGGTATGGTTTGTTAAAACTTATGTCCACTTAGAATTATCTCTGGACACCTTACTGGCAACGTAACTCTGGACACCTTTCTGACAACGTGACTCTGGACACCTTACTGACAACGTAACTCTGGACACCTTGCTGACAACGTAATTCTGGACACCTTACTGACAACGTAACTCTGGACACCTTACTGACAACATAACTCTGGACACCTTACTGACAACGTAACTCTGAACACCTTACTGACAACGTGACTCTGGACACCTTACTGACAACGTAACTCTGGACACCTTGCTGACAACGTAATTCTGGACACCTTACTGACAACGTAATTCTGGACACCTTACTGACTACGTAAATCTGGACACCTTACTGACAATTCAACTCTGGACACCTTACTGACAACGTAACTCTGGACACCTTACTAACAACGTAACTCTGGACACCTTACTTACAACGTGACTCTGGACAACTTACTGACAACGTAACTCTGGACACCTTAATGATAACGTAACTCTGGACACCTTACTGACAACGTAACTCTGGACACCTTACTGACAATTTAACTCTGGACACCTTACCGACAACGCAACTCTGGACACCTTTCTGACATCGTAACTCTGGACACCTTACCGACAACGTAACTCTGAACACCTTACTGACAACGAGAAAGAAATGTGCCTCGTTTCTGACAGTTATTCCTTATCAGTTTTCACCCAAGAAGACAAATGATATCCCAGTAATTAAGTATTCTAATGGGACTGAATAATTAAATAATATATTATAACGATCACCAGGGATATGATAATTGAATACAATGATCGATTGTAATAAAATAATTCTCCAGGACCCGATGATCTTTTTTTCTGGGGTTTTTAAAAGTGCAAAACGGAACTATGTGTGACATTAACTATTTTTAATAAATATCCCCAAACATGTATTGTGTCTGAGATGTGGAACTTGGCTATTGTAATTCCTATTTTTGAAGTAGGGTATAGGTCGTTCCCATCAAATTACTGCTGTAACTGACTTTGTAAAAAGCCGGCTTGATGAGCATAATTTGATTTATCATTTTCAACATGGATTCACGGGTAGCCTTTATTACCTTATAAATTTAATTAAAATAAATGAGTCAGATGATGATGATAAAGATTACGATATTGCTTGACAGAATACCAAGCAAAAGGCTTAAAGAAAGTGGCAGCTCAGGGTATTGGCGGAAAAGTTCTGAATAGGAAACAGTCTGCATAAATTGAGTGGAATCTGAGTATGTATCAGCGTAAGTGGTGTTCCACGAAGATCAGTTTTAGGTCCATTGTTGTTCGTAAGTCACATTTATGACCTTGACGAAAGAATAACAAATGATTGAACAAATTTGCCCATGAGACTGAAATAGGCAGAATAATAGGAATATGCCATTGTACTTCAGGTGGACTTACTCAAGCTCATGTCATGGTCAGAAAAGTGGCGGACGTAGTTAAGTGTAGATAATGCAAAATCCTAAAACAAATAACTAGAAGAATGAATTTAAATAGAACCTCACTTGGATTATGCAGCTTAGTTTTGGTCTTCGTACTACAGAATGGATATAAATTCATTAGAGAATATACAGAAAAGAATGATAAAATTACTACACTGCATAAGGGCCAATGGCTATTAGGGGTACGACCCAAAAATGTTAGTAACTGCTGTTCTTCCCAGTAATTTAATTTGGAACATGTGTCCCTTACTTTTATTTGTTATAAAGACACCGCATTTTTATCTACTAATAAACTGCTGATATTTATTTACAGTAACTTACGGGGTTCTATAGATATTTTGTGATTTAATAAACTTAAAACTGGACTCTTTATACACTGACATCTTTCAGAGTTGGATGGAGCAGGGTCGTCTGTATCATCACTTAATAGAAGCAATATATTCAGCATCGAAAGCAAGGAATAAAAGAATTTACGAAGAGAATGTGGCACAGTTGCTATCCTCAAAGGCACCCTTAGTGTCTCCTGGGTCGACCTATTGCAGTCCACTTCACTTGGCCATCACCTACAACTTACTGAACATCTTGAGGCGCCTTCTGGATAATGGCGCTTCCCTGACAGCCAAGTACTTCGGCCTGGTTCCCTTCCAGGTAGCCTGGCGAGCCACAGGGGTCACTAGTGAAGTGAGCAATTACCTCACCAGGGTATGTTTGACGATTTTGTGTTGTATATTAGCAGTCTGTGTTAAGTGCAAATGATATAACAATGTTTTTACTATATAACAGTCATGGATGGCACTCAAGGGCGTTATGCTGACAATAATTAAGAAGAGGTTTGCAGGAAAAGCTTTTATTTGCACAATTTTTCAGTCCATACCTATGCCACAGATCCGTAAAGATTGAACTTGAAAGCAGACAGTAATGAATTCCATGTCATTTCCCTTTTACTTTTATATATGTTGAGACAATTTTCCATTTTAATCTTCTCTCCTGCGTATTATTCCATGATTAATGGTGTTTTTGTAGCCAAAATATATTTGTGTTCTGTACGGAAATGTTTTAATACCTAAATGTTTCACTTG